ATTTTGGCCCTTCCTTGCCTTTAAAGGAGTGCCCTTTGCCGTGCTGATGTTGCTACATGCCTTACTTCTTGCCTATCTCACACTGCGAATTTTTTTATGAGCTCTATATTAAACATTAAATCTGTTACGAAAAAAGAACTAAATAAAATGAACACAAAACGATCAGCTTTAAAAAAGGACTCGAAAATGGAAAAACCGAATGAAAAAAGAATGTTAACAACAAATAATTTTTCACACCCAGCCCCGTTCTTCGGAATCAGAATCAACGTTGAGTTTAAGCAAGCGAATGAGCTAATTGGAGTAAAGTGCCATGCAGATTTAAATTTTTCCCACTTGTGACGAATGCAGCTATCGATTTTTTTTTAATGCTAGCATGCTAGTTAACATTCGTGTCAGTCAGCTGTTGGCTCTCACGCTGGCCAAAAGAATCTTCCTGCCTATTCGTGGCAGCCAGCAATAGGCTCTCACTCTAGCCAGTAGAAAATGGCCGCAAACTACATGAAAACTGCCGTAGAAGCATGAAAAAATCGATTATTTCCACTATCGATGGGAGTTGGGAAATGCAAAGTCGGTGTTGGCCTTCCCGCTAACTTGGAGCATGTGCAAGTAAATTTTGGTGCAAATCCGTCGAAAAATTGCGGCCGTGCATTCGTTACACACACACACACACACACACACACACACACACACACACACACACACACACATATCCTGCCTTTTATAGATAGAGATAACTTCAATAATACGAAATACTGTAAGGATTTCAACATGCATCAGCGTGTTGCAAAAAATTCTGCTGTTAAATAGGTTAATATTTTTAATACATTATGGATAAAAAAAAAAGTAGTGAATTTATCTTATAATAATTTTTCGATGAACAAAACATATTCACGGATTCGGACGAAAGAAATGGTCCCAGAATGACGTCAAAATCAACGAAAATTTTTCATCCTTTAATATTCAGTTGTAATTAGTTTAATTTGTAACGTATATAAATGTAGGTAGAAAAAAAAAATGTTTATAAGATAGCGAGGGTCACAAAACAATATCCGAGGTCCCCGATCAGGCTTGCCCTCCGGGTGGGTTCGGAGGTAGTAACCACTAGCCCGGCTTGAGAAGGCGCTCTTTGTAACCATCTGCGAAGATTAAACGATTGGAATATAGTACAGAAATGAGAGTGCATACTTTTGCAACGAGCTTTGCCAGCATACATCAAGAACTGATTAATCTGAGAGCTACATAGCCCCACACAAGGAATAACGCTCGAAAGGACGTAGTAGAAAGCCATACCACCTGAGAAAGTGTAAGAATAATAAACCAATCAGATTGCTCTATTTTAATTTTCAAGGTTCCTAATTACGAAGCCTCTAAAAGCATATCAAAATATGTCGGCAACCTAAAAATCAGTAGACGCACTCGCTTCAGAAGCAAGCGTATGCCACCGGCAACTTCAAAGTAACTGCTGCCAATCGTCTACTCACTTTTGTTGACACGCTTGTTTGCGTTTTTTTTTTTTTTGGGGGGGTAAATATCTCACATTGTAATTATAATAGCAGTAATTTTGTTAAGAAAAGTGGCGTGTTTGCCCAGATTCATATCCACGCTCATACAACATATCACTTTTCTTAAGAAAACTAATGCTAATGCGTGATATTTACAGCGCTAAAGAAAAAACAAAAATAAAAACCGATCGGAAGCTGATTGAGGTCGGTTAGGTTGTGTGTCTAGAACCATCGGACGCCAGAAATTTAAAATTCAAATTTAAAGTTAAGTGTCCCTCCATGTTCAGCATTTCTCTTGATGTATAACAATAACTGAAGTTTGTATTTTTGTATTTATATATATATATATATATATATATATATATATATATATATATATATATATATAAAGAACAGTAAGATATATAATCCGGTGTTCTTATACATATTTTTATTTTTACAAAATAGTGCTCAATGTAAAAAAACATATTTTAAATCAGTTAATTTATAATATATATATATATATATATATATATATAAGAATAAACAGTCTGTGGTAGAAACCGAAGTTTTTGTATGCGCCTTCTTTGTTTACATCCGACCACGCACTCATCTACAAGATAACAACACACAACCTTTTAAATTCCATACACCCATCAATAAAAATATTATTTAGTCTGAAGAAGTCCTTTTTGAAAGACGAAACCTGTCACTTAAGATTTTTTTTTTCGTTTTTGCCATTCAATTACACTTACCCACCCGATTATTATACGTTGCAATTTCCAACCGAATTGTGTTTGGGGTCACACGGTTAATCTCAACGACCTTCCACAAAAAAAACACAAAACTATTGATCTTGGGTCCCCTACAACTCGACCTGCTTCATAACCTTTGATCCTATCCGAAGTGATTCGATTGTGTTGTCGTTTTTTTCTTTAATTTAAATCAGCGTAAAGAAGTTGTTACATCTTCGCGCCCATGTTAATTTTAATGTCAAACAACAGGCGTTTCTAATTTAGAGTGGACACGTGTTGGTTTGTCATCTTGTATTTACTTTCTCTCAATCGGAGCCTTACTGCTTCGACTGCGTGTTTTCATTGAGTACTTTTTTGGGCGCGGTGGCAGGCCAGAAGTATCAAGGGAGCGCTTTCAACACAAGCGTCTATCTTCTCTGGACTAGGCGGTTATAATTCTTGCTGCGTATCACATCCGCGTGAGTATCACAGATTTTACGTATATTTACATTCATCGCTAATTTAGAAAAAGTCTTTCTTTTTAGAGGTATGTGTTAAAGGTGGGCAGCGCTCGACGCAGCCGTCTACCCACTCCTCTTCTTACGGGTGTCAGAATAGTTCTGCGTTAATACCGCAATAATAATAATAATAATCACCTTTTTTTTCTTGGGGTCATACATATTTTCGGAAGTCGAAGAATTTTAAATATAACTAGCAGTAGAGCCCGGCGTTGCCCGGGGATGTATCAGTAAGAGATAGATCAAGTATCGACCATCATAGAGACTGAAAAATAAAATTGACAAAGATTATTGTTTAAGGTTGACGGACACGCATGTCTTAATTAGTTTTTTTTTTTTGTTTTTTTTTTTTTTTTTTACGAATTGGTCAAACCCAAACTCAAACATAAACATTGTTTTCAATCGTTATGACTCATGAGTCTACCGATTGAATAGTATTTTTCAATTTTATTATAAACAGTTGTCTTGTAAATGGAATTTTCAAAGCATTCTGAATGTAAAAATAAAGAAAAACATGTGCAAGACAATAATAAACACTACCTGCCAAATAAAAAAGTGAAGTTTTGTTGAAATCAGTTGAAAAATGTAGGAAATCCGATCCCATATATAAACGAACACACACACACACAAACAACCTGGGTTTTATAATAAGTATAACTCGATATGAGTTTTCCCCTTTCATTCTCGAAACAGCGATGCCTCTTAATCGTGTTTTCAAATTTATTTTGTACAAAAACAATTGTGTTTTTCCAATTTTTGGCACTGTCAGAACCACCGCAAGGTAATTTTACGTAGTCCTATAAGGTTTTGTTGAAATCGGTTGAAAAATGTAGGAAATCCGATCCAATATATAAACGTACAGACACACACACACACACATACACACACAACCTGGATTTTATAATAAGTATGATTTCACTCAACAGAACTTTAAACATTTTTTAATTAGTAGACTTAACACTTCACACACTGAACAAAAACCACAAAGTACTAAATTTTATATTGTTTCTTCATGAAATAAACAAAATGAACAGTTGGATCAGCAAATCAACAAGAAATGTTGCAGTGAGAATACAGCCTGAAGATGGTGATAAAATTAAATCTGGACAAACTGACAGGATGCGATGGATAAATCATCGTCTAAATTACGCAAAAATGAAAATAACACTGACAACACATTTTAACAGAAATATTTACAAAAATTACACTATAATTGAAATACTAAAGAGTACATTTATTCAATAAAATCGCTATTGGCTTCAACCTCGGCCCCCAGACGACTTCGGGATCTCCTGCAACTCTTCTGGGCGGTCTCCTTATTTAAGTTGATGAATGCTGCCATAATCCTTCAGTTCATCTTTGGTGTTACAAGAAGTTTTGTTGCTCTCTCGCTTAACTGCACCCCACACATAATAATCAAGGGGGTTGCAGTCTGGGGAGTTAGATGGTAAGATTTAAGGGGTGATAATGTCGCAGAAATTGTCTGACAGCCATGTTTGAAATCCTCATCTGTTCTTCAAGTCTTTAAGAACTCAGATGAAATCCAAAAATATACATAGCTAATTATAGGGTGCATTTTACCACTTGTAACGTCTTAGTATACGGGAAATACGGTATGTAGTTGTGCTGGGGTACAGCCAAAAAGATGAACGGACAAACAAACAGATATTACAGAATAGGGAACTTAGTTTTAGTCTGATGAAATCTTAAAAGCCGAAACGCTTTACACGCACAAAAGAAATTTCCACTTTGTCATTAATTTTACTAACCTTTTATTCTGGTATACATAATTTATATATCATCTTCTTCCAATTTGCAGAATTCAAACTTTCTCATCATGTCCAATGTGACATCTTTTCGAAAGGACCTGATTCAAGAAATTCTAAAAAAAATACATGCCAGCACCCCACTTAGAGGGGATACCATTGGTAATCCAATTTTTTTGTTTATAAAAATATTGCTAAATATGAAATAGCATTGATTAGTGATGAGATGGCAGAGTTTTATTATTTTAACCCATCACCAATCAATGCTATTTCACATTTAACAATATTTTTATAAATAACACTTTGGATTGCCAATGGTATCCCCCCTAAGTGAGGTGCTGGCATGTATTTTCTGAGACTATAACATCTTTATTCCAAATATTATATGTGGTCAATTTTAATTACTTGATTGACTTTGTAAGTTCTGCAATGTTCTTGCCAATTTCACTTATTTCTTTTCCGATATTCACTTTCAACTTTGAAAATATTCTCTTCTAAAGTTACGACCATATCACATTGAAACACCGGTTCTTGTACGGTCACCAAAGTTAAGCAATGTCATGTCTGGTCGGTACCTAGATGAGTGACTGCTTGGGAATATCAGGTGCTGTAAGCTTGGATTTGAGGATGGTGTAATGGATAATGGCTCGGATTTGTTAATCGGAGAGCCGAATTCAAATTCCAGTTGGTTTCGTTAAATTCACTTACGCACAAATACCATTTAGAAAAGTATGAATACACATCTCCCCCTAGCTATAGGTTAATTAGTAAGGCTTTGTATCACTAAATCATTATTATCTCCCCACCCCAAAAAAAATTACAATTTAAAAAAAAACGCTGGCTTTAAATAACCTGTAAGAAAGCCGTAGAAAACGAGTCAATCATTCACGCTTAAGGTTTTAATTTCTTTAGCTGCCTTTTTTTTTCTTGCTTTTGCGTTTTCTTCTTCAGCTGACACCTTTTACTGATTACATTTTTTTAATCATTTCACCCCAGGCAAGTCACTGAGATTCAAGGGGTTGTTGAGTGTTAGAGAATAAGAAAAGAAAAAAACACTATTAAGGAGGGAGAACATTAAAAGAACAAGAATTAAGAAGACAGTAGATAACGATTGACATTGCATTTAAATTTCTGAAGATCAATGTTGGCTAGGAAGCAGGAAGTCGGACGAGGAGGCACGGTGGAGTAATGGATAGCGGCTTGGATTGAGGAATAGGAGAGCTCGAATTCCAATCAAAACCATTACATTCACTTACGTGCTAATACCCCTGAGAAAGGTATGAATCCTCTTCTTCTCCCTCCAGCTATGGGTAAATAGCAGGACAGACTGGGTTCTATAGCCTTGGATGGCAACTGGACTAGAAGAAGGACAACTCAGAATTCAAAACCTGCGGAGGTTCGTTTGGGGACCTTGTGGCACGTAGTCACCAGGTCTCTGTATTCGACCGTTCAAAAAGTGTGGATGGTCCTGCACGAAACCTTCACCACTATAATCAAATCTCATGTGCTATACATGCGGGTTGGGGACCGCTTGTGAATTCCAAATTCCCATGAAACTCCAATATTGGAGCCGGCTCAACCCACCTCGGGTGAATGCTGTTACAAGAACAAGAAGAGAGGAGGAAGTCGGAAGAGGGTTCCACAAGAATAAGATTCGTCGTCTTCCTATATTACTCAAACCGTTTTTCAGCGGCATGTCGTTTTTACTAGGCTTGTCTTTCAATAGCATGGGCCATGAAGCAAATTTAGAATTAAGACTTTATTAAATCCATTGCTAGGTCAGCTGCTAAGAAAGTCGGTTCAATATGTCAGGCGAGACAATTTTTAATAAGTTTTTATAAGTCTACCATTTGTCCATGCTTAGGATATTACTGTCACATATGGTCCGGTGTCCTTGCTATTTACCTTGAGCTCCTTGATAAGATCCAAAGCAGAATCTGCAATATTATATAGTTCCTGAACTGGCAGATTGGCTTCACTCACTTTCCCACAAACATAGAGTTGCTTCTCTGTGTCTTTTCTATAAATACTTTCATGGTAATTGCTCGGATGAGGTCTTCGCTAGAGTTTTTGAATTTAAGCATAGCACTTGACTGGCGTCGATATCTCACCAATTTACAGTTGGGCTAGCTAGATGTAGCCGTAAATTATATGATAACAGTATCTTTTTCTCGCTTGTGGAACTCCCTTCCGGCTCCATGCATTCCAGCCAACTTTAATCTGCAAAAATTTAAATGCAATGTCAATCGCTATCTATTATCCACCTGATTATTCTTTTCTCTTTCTGCTCATCATTAATGTTTCTGTTCCTAAAAAATTAAAAAAATATTTCGGGTTGAAAGAATTAGACATTTCTCATTCAAATTTTACAAATCCGAAAAAAAAAAAATATATATATATATATATATATATATATATATATATATATATTTTAGCAGCATGGCCCGGCGTTGCCCGTACTTGATTCAAAAATCGTACGACTCATACAGCAATCGCTATCACTTGACTTAAAATATTTTTGCCCTTCCTTGCCTTTAAAGGAGTGCTCTTTGCCGTGCTGATGTTGCTAGATGCCTTACTTCTTGCCTGTCTCACACTGCGAATTTTTTCTAAGCTCTATACTAAACATTAAATCTGTTACGAAAAAAGAACTAAACAAAATGAACACAAAACGATTAGCTTTAAAGAAGGACTCGTAACTGGAAAAACCGAATGAAAAAAGAATGTTAACAACAAATACTTTTTCACACCCAACCCAGTTCTGCGGAATCAGAATCAACGTTGAGTTTAAGCAAGCAAATAAGCCAATTGGAGTAAAGCGCCATGCAGATTTAAATTTTTCCCACTTGTGACGAATGCAGCTATCGATTTTTTTTGCATGCTAGCATGCTAGTTAACATTCGTGTCAGTCAGCTGTTGGCTCTCACACTGGCCAATAGAATCTTCCTGCCTATTCGTGACAGCCAGCTATAGGCTCTCACTCTAGCCAGTAGAAAATGGCCGCAAACTACATGAAAACTGCCGTAGAAGCATGAAAAAATTGATTATTTCCACTATCGATGGAAGTTGAGAAATGCAAAGTCGGTCTTGCCCTTCCCGCTAACTTGGAGCATGTGCATGTAAATTTTGGTGCAAATCCGCCGAAAATTGCAGCCGTGCATTCGTTACACACACAGACATCCTGCCTTATATATATATATATATATATATATATATATATATATATATATATATATATATATATTCTATTAATATATATTTATATATATATATTTTTTTCTATTATATATATATATATTCTATTAATATATATTTATATATATATATTTGTTTTCTATTATACATATATATATATATATATATATATATATATATATATATATATATATTTGTTTTCTATTATATATATATATATATAATATCACCTAAATAATATTTAGTATTTATTTCTAATTTTCAGTTATAAAAGGCATATAATAAACATGTTATTCGATGAATGTCGAGCTGAACTAGAAAGTTCCCTGAAGCCAACAAAAAAGGGTAATGCAATATTCACTTGCAAGAAAAAAAGAGAATTATTCTTACAAAATATATTTCAGCTTTAAGTAACACACAAAGGGTTGATAAGCCGTAAAAAAACAAATCAAGCAATCAATCGCGAAAAATGGAAATCTTCGAAGTTTATTCCCTTTTTCCCTCAGTCCTTACTCAGGCACATGCAGTATCAATAAAATGTCTATATTAATGTCTATATAAAATTTATGTCTATATAAAATTTATGTCTATATAAAAATTTATGTCTATATAAAACGTCTATATTTATGTCTAGCAATGTGTGGATTGTGGGAAGAAACAAAGTCCTGAAATTCTAATTAATCTACAACATAAAGAGTTAGATTTGCCTTCCATCAGCATGGCTGATGCTAACCACCAGGAGAGTAATTAATTTCGCCTCCTCGGTCTAACGTTTTCTAAGATGAAGTTTGACGATTATATTGAATCACCTGCTAGTTCTGCTGCTAGGAAAATTTGTTCAGTGTACCGTGCGAGATAATTTTGGGCGCCAGAACATATATTGCACCTTTATAAATCTACCATCTGTTCGTATATCGAATATTGCTACCACGTTAGGTTTTTGTGCTTCTTATATATATATCAAAAGATTCTTGACTGTATCCAAAGAAGGATCTACAATGTCATTGGTCCTGATCTGGCTTTTAGATTTCACTTACTTTTCCATCCCCGTAACGTAAATTCCACGTGTCCATTTCATAATTGTTCTGAAGGACGTTCCTCTTTAGGAAATTGACTTCATGAATTAAAGTGCAGTACTAAATTGGCGGCCTGGTCTCATCATTTTCCTAAGTGTAAGCATAAGTTCAATTCCAGGCATGCGCAAACTTTTCCGACCAGTGAATGAATCAGATATGGCTCATCGTTCAAGGGAAATTTTCGTTGAAAGTACTTTGGTCATTTTCACTACGGAAGATCATATGCGTAAGAATCTGCCTTAGAAATGGGGAAAGGTTGATTGATTTTTGGATGAAAAGATTTTTTTAATAATTAAAAAATTAAGTCTCTGTATAATATTATTACAAATGACAGTGAATAACACACACTCTAACATGTGATTTGTTTCTTACTCATTTGAAAATACAAAAAATAATTTTTAAAATAAAAATATATTTCTTCCTCAGAGAAAAATTATTATGAACATCCTGTTTCTAAAGCAAATGACAGTTACATGCATGATTTTCCTTAGTGGAAATCGCCAACGGTTTAAAATTATGAAAACGTTACCGTCAACGAAACGTTACAAAATTCTACAAACATTGTACTTATTCATTGTTTATGTATGTGGATACGTATGAGAGAATGTGTGAGTGAACAAGTGAAGACGAAATGGAACAAGCCGAATTTTAATAAACGATATTTTTCTTCATGAAATTCGGCGTGTCATGTAGAAAGCGAAACGGGACACATGTGGCCCACGGACCGCAAGTTGACCATAACTGCTCTATTCTCAAGGTCTCTTCTCTCACACTTCTCACTTGTGGAACTCACTTCCGGCTTCTTACTTTCCTGTCAACCACGATCTTCCAAAATTTAAACGCAACAAAATCTTGTCTCCTTGAATCCTAGTCTTTTAATGTCTTCTCTCTCCCTCCCCCAACTTTCTCTCAATCTCTTTCACTCTTACTAAAACCTTGCGTCTTAGTGGCTTTATCACCTTGGATGGGGTGAAATGATTAGAAAAATAGGAATATCTAATGTTGCTAAACTAAAAGCTGTAATCTATATGGAGAATTTTAAAACAGAGTATGACATTCGAAGGGTCACTGGAACAGCGAAAGATGCCTTCTAAAAACTAAACAAAGTATTAAGAAACAAGAAAACTTCGTTAGAAATAAAGAAAAGAGTGATGAGATGCTATGTAATATCAATCCTCCCATATGAACGTTTCAGTGAACGCTGGGAAATTTTATCACAGCTAAAACCCTCCATGATACTTCCACAGAGCCGAAGTACACATAATCCCCCGATATTTCAATTGTAAGAAAAAATTTAGACTCAGCTTTTCCAAAGAGCCGATGTTTTGTGGAAGAGACTCCCGCATGGATGCTTCCTCGAACGCTACAATCTTAACTTCTTCAAGTCAAAGGTCAATAATTACCTATCCTCCATATCCTCATGATCTTCACTTTCTAATTCCTATTCTTACACTACATACACTCTCTACCTTGAGTGGCTCTTAAGTCTTGTACTAGGTGAACATTAGCAAGAAAATAAAAAAGAAGGATGCTGAGAATACTATGGATTGAATCTATGAGCAACTAGGAAGTGTTGTTACAGAAAGGACATTTGTACTTAGAATCAGACAGGAACAGTTGAAATATCTGGGACGCATAATGAAGAAAGTGGGTTTGGAGACCTTGACACTCATGGGACTTATTGAAGAAAAAAGGGACAGAGGGAAATATCGAGTGACCTTGTGTAAATGGACAACAGAAGAAATACGTAGATGGAAAGTAAGGAAAGAAACATTGAACTTAGAACAACAAAGAATAGGAAGCTGTGAAGAACCACGATCGCCTATGCCCAGAAGACGTAGGCTTAGTTGTAATCATTGTTGTGTTGTGATCACGGCATCAATTAGCTCCGCTTGCCGGAGAAGCGCTCTAGATAAGCTATATCGTTGCTGTCTATTTGGGAATATTTTACAGAGATTCTCGGTACAAAAAATACAGTTTCATAAAAATTGGTTTCTTTTATCTTTTTTTTTTTCAGTTTGACGAAGCAAAATGCAAAACCTGCGTCAATCTGTGGCTGACCAGTCAGACCAAATGGCTAACAAGCTGTGTGATTTGATTTGTTACGGGAACGCGGAAGAATTTACAGCAGTTTTACGTACCATGCCTCATGCAGGCGAGGTCTGCACTACCATCGACTCGGAAGGAGAGACTCCGGTCCATTTGGCTATCCGAAGGAACCGTATGGCTATTCTTACTAAGATAATGGAGCTGGACGTAAATCTTAATTGCAGGAACAACAAAGGCTTTAGTCCGCTGTGCTATGCCCTGATATATGGACACCTGAAGTGGGCTGAGACGTTTATTAATAAAGGAGCACAAATCAATGAGATAGTGTTCCGAAAAACTGGTAAGACACTGTTACATAAAATGATCTTGAGCAATAAGCATGATGCCGTACAGTTATTGCTGAAAAAAGGTTCTTCACCTGACCAGTGTGACGAAAACGGAATGGGTGCACTTCACTACGCAGTAATCAGTGGCAATGTGACCACCGTCAACCTTCTTTTGGATTATGGCGCCTCGGTTAACATGCTTAATAATTCGCTTCAATCGCCTCTCCATCTGGCTATCACTACCAGCCAGTCGGAAATCTCCAAAAGCCTGATTGATCACGGTGCCAACGTCAACCTGCGGAATGATGCCGGCAAAACGTTACTTCAGGTTGCTGTCCTGGCCAGCAACGTGGAAATCACAAAGCAGATCCTTAAGCGCAGTATTCTGACCATCGACAGCAAGGAAAAGCTGATGGGTCGCACGCCGTTACATGCAGCCTGCTCGGTGAATTGCTACCCTATCGCGAAACTGCTCATTAACTACGGAGCGAACGTTGATTTTACAACCAAGTGTCACACTACGCCGCTGCACATCGCATCCGAAGGTGGTGAAGCAAAAATTGTGAAACTGCTAATAGACAATTCTGTTCTTGTAGACAAAACAACTAGTACCGGTAAGACACCTCTAATGATTGCCATCGAATACGGCCATATAAAGGTGGTTGATGTTCTAATGGAAGCCAAGGCAAAGGTCAATGCCAAAGACCTTCAGGGATTGACACCACTGCATTACGCGGCGCAGAAGAATGATCCCTACTTCCTGAAAGTTCTCATTGCAAGCGGTGCAAATGTCAATGCTGCCGATAACAAACGCAAGACACCGCTTCATCACGCCATCATTGCCAAATTAGATGATATTGGCGATCATCTCATCGAACTGGGCGCCGATGTGGACGTTGTAGATGACATCCAAATGACGCCGATGGATTACAAAAAACTCAGAGTTTTGCGTTTTAAGGTAGATCTACTCTTTATCAAAATTATACTAAAATATAATTATATATTAAGATAAATGCGTTAAAATCATGAAAGGTTCCTTTTTTTACACTCCTAATAAAAAAGAAAGAACGTTGTCATATATTCTCCAACACCAGCACAAACCTAACATTCATTATATAATTTTTTTCTCGTTTTGAGTATACACTTTCAAAAGATGTGCTGATAATGGAACGGTTATCGGCGCTGAAAAGGAAATCGGTATGTCGGGTTTCCAATCGATTCTGTTTTGTTCCCTTCGCGCGGAAAGGGCACGAAACTACCTTCTTTCAACTCTGGGTTAAATAGCAAGGCAACCAGACGAGTAGGGGAAACTCTGAATTCAAAATCAGCCTGAAGAAGGAAGTGATCCGTCAGACTAGACACACCACTGCTACTGTGACTGCAGTATGTGTGTTGCGCCTACGACCCTAATGGGTTACGGACAAAATGACGTGATGTGACACGTGCAAAAAAATATATATATACAGTGTTGTTAACTGTAGACATCAAGGCCTGCTTCACCATACATTTTAAGTTCAACAGGAAGGTGCTGTCCGAAGGATAGATCCCTAATGCCAAAGCTGATGTATAATCACATGAGCGAAAACGAAAAACAAACAAAAACAGTGGAAATAACTAATAGTAATAATATACGGTTATCAATGACGTAACCAGAGTTTTATGCTTGACATTTGTAAATAAAAACAAAGTACAGATAACTCTTTAAGAAATCAGAGATCGCTTTGACACTATATTTCTATTATGAACAACATCCACGTCTAAAATTATTTTTAAAAATCAATATTTTTTTATTCTGTAAAACGTCATGGGTAACGAAAGGTCAAATGAATACAAAAAATATTTCTTCCTATATTTTCCGTTTTTTACAAGCAGTCCAGTATATTTTAGTAGTGCCTCTATATATAAAGAAATAGATATAATTTTTATTGTTCTAAATTTGATATATTTATGGGTGAGTGCTTAATATTAGGCATATTGCATTTTATATATATATATATATATATATATATATATATATATATATATATATATATATATATTGAGAAATGGACAAAGTCCGACAATTTATTTATTAAAGACATTTTTATGTTTAACGTTCTTTTTATAGATACAAGTATTTAAGTAAATGCTCTGTTTATAATAAATGTTATTTAATATTGTTTATTATAAACAGAGCATTTACTTAAATACTTGTATCTATAAAAAGAACGTTAAACATAAAAATGTCTTTAATATATATATATATATATATATATATATATATATACGATATCAGGGATAGAAGGTATGTAAATATAAAAGTGGATATTGAGGAAAGCGACAGTCTATTTCACGCTTAAACACAATCGCTAGACCTCAATGTCCACTAAACACACACACACACACACACACACACACACGTATATATATATATTTATAAATATAAATGACAATAGGAAAACTGTAATAGTTGCCGACGCGTTTCTGTTAAAAAAGGTGAAATAGGGAAAAAGGCTGGGCGTAGATTAATATTTGGGTAATATTCAATGGCGACACTCTCTAGGATTTTCTTAACAGAATTACTATTCTCCCAAACAAACGTACACAACAATATCGTGTAATCAAAAGAAAATGGCTGAATCCGTCAACACAACAATAATAATATCTCCACACGTGACAGTAATTGACGTAATTTTCAGTTAACAGTATGAAAATAGCGTTCTCTAAATTCTTCCAGTTGCTAAGGACATTTTGTTTTTGCTATTATTAGTTACTTTGTTTAAATAAATTCATTTCGTTTTTTGCCTTGAGAAAGTCCACATTGGATGAAACGCGTCGGCAACTATTACAGTTTTCCTATTATCATTTATATTTATAAATATTGTCTTTTTCTACAGGTTAACTCTGACAAATTTTCATATATATATATATATATATATATATATATATAGTATTTTGCTGCTTATAAGACGCTTCGATGCATTAGACGCGCTCCAAAACATTTTGAAAGAAGAAATAAAATAAAAAACTTTTTTTTTCATATACTTCGTATCTCTCCTCACTATCCCCAATTTTACCCAGTGAATAGCATATTCCAGCTTGAAAACATGACTAAAAGACAAATTCATCACAGACTGAGAAGAATTATCAAATTTATGCTAACTATTTAGAAAGTAATAATTAGGAGAACCTAACCTTATTGCAGTCTGAAAAATCTGGCTGATCCAGATGTTGGCGGACAAGTGTACAATATTAATTGCTTCATCAAGCAAAAATACCAAGCTAATGTGCTGACAAAAGCGTAGTATACAGTAGTATTATTCTTAAAACTAGCCTAAAAGTCGTATTTTAGGCTAGCTTCTGTGGAACACTTTCAGGCTTTCCGCCTTTTACCTTCAGCGTCCTATGTACGTAAAAGTTACAAGAATTTAAAAATAATCAAAATGTTTTATCTTTATTTGACACCTTAATTCGGCATAATCTTTCTTCGTATACGCAACCGATCTCCGTAGTTTGTTTATATTTATTTTACGCGCAATTTTTATTTTCTTTTAAAATCACCATTCTTTATGAACCCTTCACATAAAATCACTCTTAAAACCCGAACTATGTAATAGTTACGCCACAGTATGTGTGCTAGAAAAAGAAAAAAACATGATCAACGTGCCGTGCCTCGCTTAAGTTTTAATTACGGTTTAATTAGGCAATATCAATTGCAATTGCGAAATTAAAGTTAAACCTTTCATAAAGAATTGTTTTTAAGCCTTTCACTCTGTTTGATATTTAAATTTAACTTTAAATGAGTTATTTATTTAATTTTTAATCGCATGTAACTATAGTAGTTACTACCTGTTACTTCAGGTTGTTTGTGATTGGCCGAGATCGAAAAACGGACGGACGGACGGACGGACATACGTACACTGTGCTTTATTCAGATATAAGATAGATGATGTTTCCCATAAATGGTGTTGTTTTGTGTCCAGTAGTTTAAGAAACAAGGAATGAATAAAGATGTTACTTAAGCAGGTGTTATTGTGGCAGGAATTTCGTTTATATTTGAGCTATTGTCCTTATTTTTTTTATTATCACAGCATTTCAGCCATTATGTCCTCCGGCTTTCCTCAGATGTATATTAATCTGGGTAACTTCCGGGGAATTCAGAAGTGAACCCTTTATTTAATCTACAGGGGTATATTGTTCTTGTTCCACTGCTCATAAATTAAATAGTGTTCAATTCAGAATTCCCTGTAGGTCCATATATAAATAGTGTAAATAATGGTTTATTGTAGTTTGACTACTTATATGATGTCCCAACTATGAGATCTGGGTTCAAATCTCACTATAGTCAATTTGTTGAAGTGGTGACTTCTTGATAATATTGGACTGTGGAAAGAATCCCAATTAGCAACACCATTGGGGAATGCCTACAAACAATTCTACAGGTTGACCCAAGCCTTTTGAGTGAATTTGGATTGGTGGAACTGTTCAGAACCTGTCAATAGTTGCACTAACACAAAAGCTTATTATTATTATTATTATTATTATTACACACACATACATATATATATATATATATATATATATATATATATATGAAAAAAGATAAACTAGGAAAACTTATCATTTGCCTTGATATAGTTCCTCAGAGGATGAAACATGTTGGCTAAGATGTGTGTGTGTGTGTGTGTGTGTGTGTGTGTGTGTGTGTGTGTGTGTGTGTGTGTGTGTGGAGGAGAAATAGATAATGATATTGTTTAAAATAGAGTTTAAAGATGAAAGTAAATACTAGAGAAAATTGATGATAATGGATAAAGAAATTCTCTCCACTTTCTTTAACTAATATATTTTTTCTTATTGTTTTTATTTTAAGGTCACACACAAGAACAAATTCCAAGAAATGTTATCAAAAATCAAGAAACTCAACAAGTAAAACTCACAAAAGGGAGACAGTCTCCATTTTTCTTTTGGTCACTCATTTTGTCATATTAATAAACCCTTGAAAATAATGCAGTGTTTGTAGTGATTTGCATTTCTTTAGATCCTCATTCTATAGTAAAAATTGAAAGTAAGAAATAATCCCTCTAAGGGATTTGTGAAGAAATAAAAAAAAGGTTACACACATTGGTATTCTATCAATAGATGTCTATTTATACATGTTGGATTTTACAAGAATAAGAAAGTATTAACAGAGATGCCAGTTCCCCATGATCAAATGTCCTTCAAAATCAGCATTTGAAATTCAATGCAATAAAAAAAAGGAGTTATCCAAAAATTTCACAGACAAAGACAATTAAAGCAGATCTTGGAAATATAAATATACTAGTTGACATTACAAATTCAGTCTCTCCTTTTCAACTGGAGAACTTACTCTTGGACATAAAAGTTTGCTCCTGCAATTATTTTTGCATTAGAGTAAAAAAATTGTAAGGATACACAAGGTGATTATCTCCCTTTGGTGGAGATAAGTCACATGACAGCTGCTTAGTGATGAAAACAGCACTCAAATTGAGTTTCTTTACAACAGGCAAACCGAAAGGTTGCTTTCTTTAGCCCAGGACCTTGATGACCTGGGCTGAGGTTAAATCTACTCCCCAGCAGTTTACAAATCCATAGTTTCCTTTTTGGGAATATATTTTTCCCAGATGTAGAAAAAAACTCCAGTTCAAAGTCCTCAGTTTAAGAAAACCTAAAACTTGCTGTTTCCTGTTCATGGAATTTGTCCTTGCCTGCAACATAGTAGATGAATCCAGTTCATTCGAATCTGAAGTTCTAAACATGGCTTCTCCAGAAACAGGAATATCTCCATATTATATGTAAGACCCTTCATTTTTGTTTCTCCTTAACTCTGCTTTGCTGTGTAGATATATGTAATATATTATTCTTTGCATGGGATATGTGTATATATGTATATATAGTTTTGTGTATGTCTTAGTAGTATAAAAGTCTCTCTGAGAACAAAGCATCTTTGTCATTCTTTTCATTTTTAGCTATTCTATGCATGAATTACAGTGTTATCACATCACAGATATAATA